TTTGGTCTAATTGAGGCCTTTCCCTGAGGTCTCTTCTCTCCTGGTTGTACATAGTCTTCCTGGTGGCCCCATTTGCTCCCATAGCTTCAGTCACTACCCACATGTTCTCAGCTCCTCATTTATGTCTGTAGCCCGGAGGTCCCTCATGAGCTCTCCACCTGAAAATATAATCACTGTACCTAACTGTGCTTCTTTTGGTTGGCTCCCAGGAACCCAGAACTCAATAAGTCCCAAAGCAAAATCATGGACTTTTCCCCCAAATCTGCTGCCCCCTTCTCCATTCTCTAACTCAGTGGTTGACACCACCACCCTCCGTCACTCAAGCCAAACACCTTCTCTACCTCTCCTCCTAATAGACTTGCTTGGTCCTGTCAATTCCCCTTCTTTTTTTTTTTTTCCATTAAGAGGGCATTAGTTTAATAAGGACTCAAGAAGACAAAGAAATGCCGAGACCCTTGCGGTGAAGAAGTTCTCAATCTGATTTGCGGGGTGGGGTGCAGGGGCAGCATGAGGTTGGAGTTATTAAGCCTAGGATTGGAATGTGAAGGAACCAGATTACATGGCAAGGGAAGGAAGCACAGAGAGGCTTAAGGGAAGGTTTAGATTGTGGGAAAGAGGGAGAGGCTGGACCACAGCAGGAGAGATTGGATTTCAGGAAACCGCCTCTTTGGAGCTGGGTCTGGAAGGTGGATTTTCCAAGGGGCTGCTTAACCACCCCTCGCTGGGTGGTGCAGCTCGGTCAAGGTGAGATCTCGCTGGGGCAGCTGCACTCACAGGCACTGGGAGTATGAGGTCAGGGTTCCCGGCAAGATCTGCAATGTGTTGGTAGAGTGGGACCCCCTTCTCAGCTGCTCCTGCCTTACACACGGCCAAGGACATGCCCAGGATGGCATTGGCCCCAAACTTGGACTTATTCTCGGTTCCATCCAGCCCAATCATGAATTTGTCAACTTTTTCTTGATCCACAATGCTTAGTTTCTTTTCCAGCAGAGCGGGGCCTAGAGTCTTGTTGATGTGTTCCACAGCCTTCAGGACTCCTTTCCCCAGGTAGCGGGATTTGTCTCCATCTTGTAGTTCCAGAGCTTCATAGATACCTGTGGAAGCCCCGCTAGGCACAGCTGCTTGAAATCGGCCCTTAGCTGTGTGCAGATCCACCTCCATGGTGGGGTTGCCCCTGGAGTCCAGGATTTCCCGGGCAAAGATTTTCTGCATGGCCATGGCTGGGATGTCTTGGATGGAGCTCGGAGTCTAGGTGGCAGCTGGGACAGTGTCCATTCTTAATACTTCTCTTACTCATTTACTTCGTCTCTACCCATTCCCTCCTCTTCTCAGGCCTTCAGCACCGCTCCCCTGGGCTAAAACGTAGGCTGCTTGCATTCGCTCTCAGCTCCCTCTCCCTCACCAGGCACCACAATCCACACACCTGAGTTTCATTTCTAAAGCAATCTTTGCTCAAGTATCTTCCCTGTTTAAAATCCTTTTGTCCTATTGCCTAAAAGGCAAACTACTTAGCATGGCAAACAAAGCCTTCCAGATCTAACCCTTCCACCTCACACAGCTAGCCTGATTTCTCTATCCCCCTTTCTTCACTGTGACCCCATAAACTGTAGTCATGTTGATCAAGATGCACTTCACCTAAGGAGCCACCCTCGTCACTCTCCCTCCACCACTCTGTGCTTCTGTGGCTTCCTTGGCCTGGAAGCCCTTCCCCACCCACACCAGCCACCTGCTTAGTAAACACCTATCCGTCTCTTTTTTCAAAAGACTATCAGTGATTTTTCTTTACATAAAAATAGCACATTTTCATTACAAAACAGAAAATCAGAAAACACAGAGTAGCATAATAAAGAAATAAAGATTACCTAAAAAACCTACTGCCACCTAGAACTAAGGCTAGATTTGGGACGGGTCAACATATTTCCCCATCCTGGCTCCTCGACAAAGCCATGGCAGGGGGTGGCCAGCGGTCAAGAGAGGCAGGAAGCACAAGGGTGGCTGCGAGGCTGAGGGGAGAGGGGAGCCTGGTGGCGTTTAATGGGCACAGAGTTTCAGTTTGGGAAGATGAAAAAATTCTGGAGATGGATGGTGGTGATGGTTGCATAAAAATGTGA